CGTTTTCGTCAAATAAAGACATAAACCCAACGCTGCTCGCCCGGGACTGGGATGAAGTGCGGCGCGTGGTCACCGGGTCGGAGACGGAGGCGGGCGGGCGAGAGCGGGCGGGCCGGTGCCGCCGCCGAGCGCGGAGGAGTCCCAGCGACGTCCGGGGTCCACACCCGTCAGCGCCGGAGCTGGCGACCTGCGGACAGAGCGCCGTGAGCGGCCGGCCAGCCGGCGCCCGCGGGGAGAGCCGAGAGCCGAGGGCCGCGGGCCACCGCCCCAACGCCGAACTCACCTCTGGAACGTTCTCGCTCTGACTGAACAACGCCGCCGCCGCGCTCAAGCTACCCTCGGCCCAGTGCCCGCCCCCGAGCCAGGCCGCGCCGCCATTGGCCGGAGGCCCGCCCGAGCGCGGCCCTCATTGGCCCGCGCTCCGCGTCAATCGCTCCCAACTGCTTCCGGAGGCTCCGCCGGCGGCCTCGGCCCGCCCCCGCCGGGTCCCGGCTTCCGGCCCTCTCCGCCCCTGCCTTTCCCGGCAGCCTGTGCGGCCAGGGCCGGGATTCGCGCGCGCGCTCTCGCGAGAGCGCCCGGGGCGGCGGCGGCCGAGCTTTGTCGGTTGGGGCGACCGGGCCAAGATGGCGGGCGCCTCGGTCTCTGGGTCCGGCCGGTCCGCGGCGTCGCGCTGACCGCGCCGACGGGAGCCCGCAGCGGGGCTCGGGAGGCCGCTGCGCGAGCCTGAGCTCGTGGGCGCTGCGCTTGCCCTTCGCCTCCCCGCCGGACGCCGCTTCCCGGCGCCCAAAGCAAGGGCCCCGCGGCCGGGTGGTGTGAAGCCAGCGGGGCAGGGCCTACCCGCTGCCCACCCGCGAGTCCCCCTCGGGTCTGCGTGCTCACCTGCCGGTCCAGGGGCGAGCCGGTCACTCCTGTCCACGTCCGCGGCTCTGGAGAGGGACACGCAGCTGTCGCCGGGCCTCGTTCGCCGGGGCCCCTGACGCTACTTCCTCTGCTCCCCACTCCCACTTCCCTGCGGTCAGCCAGGCCTGTCCGGCCCGCGGACCCGGGTGGCCCCAGGCCCGCCCCCTCCGCGTGTCGGGGTGCGCGCAGCAGGTGTTCACCACGGCCCCGGTGGCCCCGAAAACCAGCCTCCCCCATTGGCCTGCCGCGGAAACCCCTTCTTTCAGAATCGGAAGATTTTTGCATAGAAGTTTCAGCAGAGACCTTGTGAAAATAAAGACATAGAAGTATACCCAGATCGTTTCTAATCACACTCTCTTTCCTCTTCCAAGTCCACGCGAGAATGCAGGCCAGCCTGGCTGCAGCGACCGCCCTGCAGGGTCCGAGCCGTCCCGGGCAGCAGCGCCTTCACTTGTGGGTCAAATGGCCAGCGCTGCCCTGAGGACAGGCAGGCAAGGCTGCACTTGGCTTGGTCGCCATGTGGCATCAGGTCCCCCCTGACCCTTGGCGACCCCGCGTGCAATTGAACCCCAGCTGCATGAAGCAAAGAGAAGGCTTGTTAACGTCTTAAACGTGACAGTATTCCCACCTGATAAGCCATCCTGAAGTGCATAGTGTGGGTCTGAGGACGAATCAAAGAGGCAATTAGCTTGAAAAGAAGGGATTTTACCCTCTTAAGTGTCAAGGATTGAAATGGAAGGCCGCTGTGGCTACCTGCTCTCCATCCAGCCGTGAGCCGGGTAGCTGACCGGGCGCACCTGGAGCCAGACGTGGCCTTACGGAAACGTGCTACTCACCAATCACACACGTAAGAAACTCCTGGGAAAGTTTAACAGTGAATCCAGTAGGGGCAAAGCTGCAAGCCTCTTAATGATAACTGCACAGCTGACTACTATTTGTATTTAGAAAATCCGATTTTTAATTTGTACCAATTTTTTCACTTTCATTCTTAGTATCTGTATCACTCATTTCAATACAGTTTTAAGTTCTCTTAATCATGCAATCCATTCCTATTCAATCTGTACGCTGTGCAAATCATTTGAGAAGCTGAGTTATGTGGCCGACACAACGTTGCTTGCTGAAAGTAAGAAGGACTTGAAGCATTTGTTCCAGAAGATCAGGTCATGCAGCCTTCAATATGGATTGCATCGCAATGTCAAGAAAACAAGGATTCTTACCACTGGACCAACAGGCAACATCATGATGGATGGAGAAAAGATTGAAACTGTCAACAACTTCATCTTTCTTGGATCCACAATCAACACCTATGATACTGTCAGTCAGGAAATAAGGAGATACATTGCACTGGGAAAGTCTGCAGTTAGAGATTTCTTCAAATTATTGAGGAGTAATCATGTCACTTTGAGAACTAAGGTGTATCTGCTTCAGGCCATAATTTTTTATTAAATTTTATTAATTTTCATGAACATTTACAGAGATTTGGGGTTTCCATTCATTGATTGTTGCACTATTTTT